GGAAGGAAGATTTATTGAAAGAGAGAGAGAGAGAGAGAGAGAGAGAGAGAGATGTATTTACTACTACACATATACATGTATACACAGCGCGCACCTGCGTTATGGTCTGCACTTAGCTTTCGGTACAGGTGCGCTAATTAAACTGTAATCCTTTCGATAAGCTTCGACTATGCTTCAACGATTCACGTAGTGGATGAAGTTGCCCTCATTGAACTGTCGTGAGGTTTAGTAACGATTTATCGTTTATTTCAGACTTTACTCTTGTTGCCCTGACATATTATAAGTTATATTTGCCAATAATCACGAAATTGATACAAATTTTATATTTGTATAAGTTCACGTTACATTGATTTATATTATATATATATATATTTATGCACGTATATAAAAAATATTATATTGGATTAAACAAGAATCGTTAATTTTTCGTGACACAATATCCTATCACTCATTGTATAAGAAATTTAAAAAATATTTCCCATTAAAAAAGATGTCATAGATTAGCAATGAGGGAAAAAATAACGAACGTTGCAAAATGACCGAACACAAAAAAAAAACAAGTGATTACACCTTTAGAAGAAAGTTATTTAGTATAGATATTAGGAACAAGAGGAAGATAGGAAATAAGAGGATCATGCAGCGAGGTGTGGCATCAACGGGATCAACAACCATGACCACTACTGCTCGTTAATTAATCAATTAACGTTTGTATCCGGTCAACCAGCTTCTCAGGAATTTCCGCGTTAATTTGGAAGCGAATTTCGCCGAAGTACGAAAACGAATGGGTAAGAGCGACAAGAAGGGCCAGGGGGAGGGAGTGAAGGAAGAAGAAGGGCTTGTTGAAACTGGACGATCCATTCAACAGGAACGTAACCTAACTATGTTGAAAATGGTTTCAGTAAGGTAACTGTTTGCTAAAAGTTACGTTAACACGAAACTTGATCCAAATAGAAGAGAACAAGAGAAAGAGAGAGAGAGAGAAATAGATAGATAGAGAGAGATGAACGATCGTAGGAAGTATTATCTCATCGAAGGTTATCAAATCGTTTCGATCTTTCACAAGACGCATCGTCGACAAAGTTCAGTTAGGTCAATGTGCTCGGACTGACATAAGCGTCAGCTCGCTTTTACGAGCGTCCTTACCTTTTCCAAGCACTGGAAGACATCCTGAATTTGCAAATCATTTCGATTTGATCGTAAGCGTAAGAAGTAAAGTTAAAAAGAGAGAGAAAGAATGAAAGAGAAATAGATGAGAGAAAAATATGCGTTATAGATTTATCTATAGATTTAGCTTAGCTTACTTGAGATCTTTATAGTTCTGGATTTTTTGAATTGACATGAATTGTTAATTTCAATTTGTCTTTTATCGTTTACGATTGGACACAATTTATATAATATAATTCATAGGATTTTTCAAACAAATATTTCTTTCGAAAAAAAATTCTACACATAAGTATTTATATTAAAATATAAATTAAAAACTCTGTCGAGTGTATGTGGATTATTATCTTTTTATAAAATAAAGAAAAAATGTGTGTGTGTGTATCCTTTCTGATTTTTTGAAAGTATATGCATGAGAGATTTGGTAATCCCAAAATTCGTCTTTCATCGTTACGGTTGGAACAAACATGCGTTTTAACAAAATGCGATAAAAGCTAATTAACATTGCTATTTATGTATTTATTTATTTGTAATTCGCAAATGCACGTTACTTCAAAAAAAGAATTCCGAGGAAAAGAATTTTGAACTGTACCAAATGGATTATCATTATTATTATTATTATTATTATTATTATGTAAAGAAAAAAAAAGAACGAATACTACAATAATACAAAAAAAGGATTTTTTAAAGAATTTCAGACCGAATATAATAACATAACGATGAAAGTTCTCTAACTTTTTGAGTACTTGATATATGCATATCTATTGCATACCTATAATATCTTTACGTCATTATAAAATTGAATAGTATCAATCCAATTATAAGTTGAAGAAAGACTGTTGCGAGGATAGTAAAAAAAAAAATCGATTGCACCTATCGATAAGAGGTAGGGGCCATGCTTCTGGATAAAGTTTGAGATTAATTAATCGATGCTGTCTCGGTGAGTGTAAAGAACGCTTTCTGCAATGAGGTAAAAGAAATAAAATAGGGACGCAGAAAGAGAGAAAAGGTGGAAGACTGCTCGTTCGTTCTTTTTCTACTTCCCCTACTCGCTTAATAGAACTAATTACTTAATGCTTCCTGACACGCGGATCAGTTTAACTTTTACCGCGTTCAACTTACTACTACAGTCACTACGAGCATCTCCCTTGACCACCCTCTTCCATCTTCCTCCCCCTTCTCCCTCTCATTCCTTTTCCTGCTCTTCTTTACCCACCCTTAACAGCACGATTTTAACTCCGATAAACCATGGCTCTAAGTTTGGAGTCTTCGTCAGTAAATTCGATTCGTCTGAACGTTTTACCTTATCTCGTGGTTAGAACTTGATTCATTTATCTGTTAGAGAGAGAGAGAGACCTTATTAGCAAAGAGGAAAATATAAATTGTATGGATAATGAGAAGATTTAATTGGTTAATATATGTTAATAGTTATTAAAAGTTATTATGTTAATATGGGCACTGAGAAGAATAAAAATCATGTATTTTTTAAATATTTTTGAAAATGTTAAATTATTTTTGAATAGAGAAACAATGAAACGAATGGGAAAAGAAAAGAAAAAAAGATATAATATAAATTATCGGACATTTTTTTGTTAACACTTTTATTATATTTATTGTATTTTCTTCTTTTCCTTTTCTTTTTTTCTTTTCTTCTCTATTTTCTGAGTCGACGATGATGAACGAGATAAAAATGGGAAAGATGAAAAAAAAAAGAAGCCGACGATGATACTACTGTAGCCTTTGTCGTTGTTCAGTCACGTCGAGAAAATTTAAATAAATAACCTACGGCTTCGCGAACGATTTTTCATCGGTGCAACGAGACGTATCATCATACGTTGAGTTGAATTCACAACTAATCCGATACGGAAAGGATAACTATGTTGTAGTAATAATGCATGTTAGATTTTTACATTAACGAATAAGTTTTATATATATTTTAAAGATAATTAATTTAATAGAAATAAAAATAATAATATTGCTGTGTCTTGATTTATAATACTGTGTATTTATAATACTGATTTACTTATATTTATTTATAATACTTACTTGATTTATAATACTTCTTAACTTAAAGTCATACATAATCGTTGATTTCATATTTTTCGGGTATTTTATAATTTTTATAAATTATTAAACTAACAATTAGGATGAGTAGGATAAAATAATTAGATGAGTTGTAGATAAGATAAAAGGAAAATATATTTAATCGTTAATTTATAAATAATCTAACTCTATATAATAAAATATATACCCCAAAGTCTTGTTTTTAAACTGTAGATATGTTTCTCAAAATAATTTGTAGAAAAATCGTGCAAAATATCGTGCAATAAAAGTAATGAAAACTTAATTGTATAAGTTTTTAAATATGTACATATGAGATAGATAAGTACATCCGGAAAGCTAAGGCCAATTTTTATATGTCGAATATATTACATTTTCTCTGGTAATATTTCAACATATATAATTTTGAATACCTTTTTTTCGATAGAAAGGAAAAATTAAAAATTAAGAAAAAAATAAATAAATTTGTCTATCTTTCGATTATAAAAAATAAAAGAGAACAAGTGTTATAATTAATATGTTTGTTTTTAATTTGTCCTTTCATTAATAAACGGGTTGACGATGATAGGTAAAGTGTATTTTTGTATTTTCTATAAGATGAATCAAATGAAAACGAAAATAAGTGCACGTTGAAATGTGAAATCACTTTAGAATCGATTTTTCTTTCTTTCCTATATTAATCTCTCTTAGTATTACATAGCATGTAACATTGTGTTTCACGTCAAAACCAGAAAGCTGGGTTTGCGAATAACAACGGGTCGATTCTTCTTTGTTAACGTGGAATGATCACGTTTGTTTCATTTCTACTAAAATTTTTGTTAGTGTTGAAGGGCATGAAGGAGTATACGTTACACAAATGAAATGTCTCGAAAAAGTGAGTCATCCTTTTTACTCTATCACTACAAAAATTGAAGGGAAAGAAATACTTAAATGTTTGTCTTCTGATTTAAGTACTTAAAGATAAATTTAATAATTTAAAAGTTACATTTTTTACAATAAAATTATAGACCGAATATTATAATAGAGAAAAATATTTAAAGTTTTATCCACTGTGATTTAAATGTACTTAGACGTAAATAAAGAAATCTAGAATAAGAAAAATTATTAAATATTAAATTTATTAATTGGAAGAAAACTTTTGGTAAATAAAAATTTGAAAAATGTTTCGCAACGTCACTTTTAAACCCCAGGACTTTTTAAAGTTGCGACCCAATATGCGGTCGCGTAACTATTATAGATTTGGAGATTGCAGAAATTGTAGCAAAACGAAACAATTTTTGGACGTGTAACGACCAAAACTTAATTTAAAATCAGTTAAGCAAGAGTACACGTATAGTATGTCAGTAAGTTTATGATAGTGAAAGAGAAGATAGTATAAAGTTTATACTCAAGATCATAAAAATATTTGCTCTGGTAAAAAGAAGTCGTTAAGTAGAAAAGTTTGAGTTTAAAACGACCTTTTCTAGAATGAAAATACATCAATAAAAGATCAATTTATTTTTAAATTTCGAATTACAAAGAAACATATACCCAAATACCTAAATATTTCATTATTCGCAATTGAATACACAGATAGGAATTATAAATAGCAGATATATTTAAATATGATTAATTATTTATTAATCAACGAGATTGTAAATACGTGCGATAAATCAAAGCTTTGGTTTCGCGTTGAATAAAATATTTTCATTCATTCTATTTTATATGTGCAACGTGTACAAAGGTATCTTATCAAACAACAAATTAATTTAAAAATATAATATCGATGTTTGACTTACGATTGATAGGTGTGCTTGGAGTTGCAGTTACTGAAAAAAAGAAACAAATCGGGAGATTAGATAAGCAAAATGTTAAACGATTATTATATTAAATGTTTCATTGATCGTAATTTTAATTATTTGTCTCCTAATATTTTCTCTATACTTTTATAAATATATTATTTTTATTTTAAAGTATGTCCAATGCCGATTAAAAGTATTATAGTATTGGCATAAATTAAATTCAATTTTGTAATAACTTCAATAGATCTGTAAAAAATAAGATTCTTTATCAAACATTTTTGTGAATTATATACATATGTTTCCAGTTAAAAATATAAAAGTATAATTTTAAAGTAATAAAATGAAAAATAAGTGTTGAGAAATTGTTGGGACTTTATACGTTTTTGAATATTTTATATTTGATTGTATACCATTTTAATTTCCATGATTAATAACATACGTAAAATTAACATTCGTAAAATATATTTGATGAAAAAAAATTCATTAAAAAAATCGTATCTCATACATATTTCCAAACGATGTTGATATATCTCTATATCAAAATACATCATTTCAAATATATAACACATCGTATAAATGTGTAGAAAGATTTTAATAAAAAAATCTTTTTTGTTCAATTAAATTGAATTAAATCGTTGATATCGACTATATCAGGTTAGTAGCAGTGAAATAAAAAAAATCTTGAATTGAGAGTCTCGAAGAAAGATAGATAAAGAGAGAGAGATAGTGAGAATGAAAAGAGAAAGATTGAAAAGAATTGCGAGTCTTTGTATAATTTTCTTTGCTTTTTTTCTTTTTTTTTTTTTTTCTTGTGGGTGAGTACGAATCGTATTACACGAGAGGGAGATCTCTTCTTCTTCTTCTTCTTCTTCTTCTTCTTCTTCTTCTTCTTCCTCCTCTTTCTTTTTTTCCTCTTGAACCTTTCAAGACGTCGTTTCCTAATAAGCGAACCGTGTCGCGTCTACTTCCTTTCAGGTACAGCCAACCGTACGAGAGTACGAAGAAAAAAGAAGTGAGCGAGATGGAGAGTTGTAAATGCGCGACTAAAAAGGCGACACGAATCTTGGGAATAATAACGTTGGGACTTGTGAATGACGAAGATGACGTTATTTCGAAGAACGAAGAGTATCTCTTTCCCCACCCACACCCCCCCGTCCACCTCTCGCCTCATACCTCACTCCTTTCCACCACCAACTCTCTCTTTCTCTTACAATTCTTTTTCACAAAAGCATTTTTTTTATCAGGCAAATTTATCATAGAACACTTATAGCTCTACCTTTTTCTTCTCTTTCAAAATAAAAAAATTTCTCTTTCTTTTTTTTCCTGGTTTACTAATTATTATTTCTTTTTTTTTTTTTTTTTTTAATATAAATTAAAATTCTCTGTTTATTATTATAGAATTATGTATATAATAGAATGATCTGTGAATATGAATTAAATAATATCTGATGTTTAATTAAATTTCTGACTTTTCAGAGTTTTCTGAAAGAAAATATAAGAGATAATTATTTTTACTTTTGTTAAAAATTTATTATTATTATTAGTAGAATTTTGTATGATAATTATATAGAGATAACGAACAATGATAATTTTTGTAATTGTACGTAATTAGATAGGAAGATTAAGAATTAATAATAGTTAAAGACTTGATGAAAAATAAGAACAAATTTCAAGGTTTCCTCGTTCTTATACTTTCTCTACGAGGCGAAGTAAACGAGCTTGTTTCTTTCGTAGTATACGCATATGTACATGTTAAAAGTGAAAGAAAGTCGGGTAGTTCGGTTCATTTTTGACCTACTTCGAAGATGCGAATAGTCTGTATCTCTTAGGAGGCTCTCGTTAACTAGGCTAGTTAAGGGTGAAAAGTGGAGCAGATTACTTTTCTGAGTTTCCTACACCCAGCTATTTCCTTCATCTCTTTTTCTTTCTTTCTTTCTTTTTCTTTCGATCCTCTTTTTTTCTTTTTTTTTTTTTTATAATCCCAATTCCTTACTTTAAATCTCTCGACGTAATCTTTTACTCGAGGCTTTTCCTTTTGAATTTTTCCACGTTTCAAAAAGACGAAAAGAATCCCTCTTTAATCTGACATTATTGTTAGAAAAGTGTAGAAATTTTCATAAAAACTTTTAAATCTAAGGATGGTAACCAACACGTCGATCGCGAAACGATTTTTGATTGATCATAACCAACGAAAAACAATTTCTGACACATTTCATATTGAACAAAATCCGTTAAAAAATAAAATTACAACTCTACAAACTGATTTAATCTTACAAGTCAAATAACTTGAGGATGATTTTTGGAAATACAATACATGAATCGTGTAAAGTATACCAATATCACCAAATATAGCAAATATAATATCTTTTTTTGTTTTATATCTATCACATATTTATGCGAATCATCTTTTTCATGTTTCAAATTCACAAAGACTAAACAACGTTCCCTACTTATTGATCCTCATATTAAAATTTCATTATCATTACCTTTGTGTCTGGATACACGCTAAATTATAAACGCTTGTTTGGAAACATGCAGGCGCAAATTTTCCACTAATTATATTATCAAAAAATAAAATTTAATCTATATTTTGTTTGTGACTACTACTCTTTTTAATTAATAAATAATAATAAATTATCGCTGTGGGGTTGGGGGTTAAATATCCCCTTTTTTCATTGTCACTTATTAGTACACGTGACACATGTTTGAAATGGCAAAATATTAATAAAAGTATCATAGATTGCGATACATTTTTACGACGAAAAAAATCGATCGCATATAAAATAAACATGGCCACCAACTACTCTAAATGAACGTATAGAAATATTATTTAGAATAGATAGATAGATAGATAGAGAAAGAGAAAATATTTTTACGCAATGTTAACACACTTGTGTATGTTATTTATTTGAAATTAAATATAAATTTTGTCTTTTTATTTGAACACTTTAACGCGTCCGTACGTATGACAATAATACTTTAGTTCAATTTTAAACACCACATGAACATGATGTCACCAACATTGATCCAATAATTTTCACTCAACACAAAGAATAATGTCCCCGAAAACATAGTGTTTATTATATTTGAAATATTCTTGTCAATGTAATCATTCGCAATGAAATATTTTAAACGAGACATCTCTTTACATCGAAATTAATGCTTCATTATACTTCGTACGTTATATTGTTATATCCAGTTACCAACTATTGTTTTTTTATATAATCGAAGCATGTAATTAATTTTTCGTTTTGTGTTTACGAGCTTTGCTTCGATATAAATCGTTGCGTATTGTATTTATCAGGGAACGTAAAATAAGATAGAAAATCAATGAGAAATCGATAAAAAATCTCTTCCCTTTCGCCCCCTCATCTCCTCACTCACTCTCTCTCTTTCTTTCTTTCTTTTACTCTCGTTATATTCCGATACGCTGATGTCGTTTTTCTTGTTTAACTTTTTTCCCTTTTTTTTCCCCCCATTGCCGATCGTTTCCGCGTCTCTTGTTTTCTCGTTACTCGCATCGGCTAACGCATATATTGTTCTTCATTTAAATCTAACGTTAATTACGAGCTCCGTGCGTTCCCCTTTTTTTCTGTGTGTTCCTTGTGTAAAAAGAATAATAAAAGGGAGAAAAAGAAAAAAAGGAACTAATAAACAGAAATAAATAAATAAAGAAAGAAAAGAAGAAAGAAAGAATATAGAATGGGAAAGGAAAAAAGAGAGAGGAAAAATTTAAATAACAAAAAATTAAAGAAAAAAAGAGTAATTTTTTAACGTCACAACCAAACCAACCAACCAAGCGAACCAACCAACCAACCAACCACCGTCGTTCAACTAATTTTCCCTTTTTTCGATCCACCTTTATTTTTCTCGGTCGTTCTTTAATTACCATCGTTTCTCGAATTGCTCTATTCTTAAGATTTACGCGTAGCGTCTTTTTTTTTAACGCTAAGGAATATCTTTATACTGTACTAACAATTTTTTTTACCTTGCTACAGTAAATGATCATTATGATTAAGTATAATTATAATTACTGTATGTTAATATATTGATTAAAAAAGGGACTTATCATCTCAATTATAAATCGTATTTTTAAAATTTTCTAGTCAGAACGATTCAATACATTGACCACCATTTTCTAGGTATTCTGCATAATGACTGGACATTTTATAGATTGACCGAAACTTGTTATGGGCATTTTGTATAATGTTATTTCAAATGATAATTCTATATACAGTGCTCGGTCATTTTGCAAACGAACATAAACATTACAAAAGAAAAAATCAGAAAATAGTGGATTTTTATATGAATCCTCATATTATATACAATAGTTTGACCTAACCTACAAATGAAATTGTCTCTCATCGTTTCTCGTTAAAAAAAGAAAGGAAAGAAAATTTCGTATCTTTTGCTATCGGGTGTCTCTATTATTTGTACTTTTTTTTTTTCACCAAGAGGGATGTTGATTTGAATTTAATGAATTGAATTATTTATTAAGTTTGTACCACACACACACACACACACACACACAACAGAGGTACCAAATCGTCCGAAAAGAAAATATACACGTATATGGTGGTGTGCATCATGTTGGTGGTACATTTCAGAGTGAGAGAATGTATTAAAATACTAAAATCCCTATTGATCGATCACGCGATTGAAATCATGTTATCATGTTACGAGATATCCCCGGTGAACAGTTCGATCGAAAATATTCGATCGGCGAGAATTTTGTTCGTTCCATTTCGGATTGAATTCTCGATTCCGCGACTGGATACGTCCAATCGAATTTTTCAACAGTACCGGCAAAATCTGATTTTGTAAAATCCTAGTGTCGGTCGAATTTATTGATTGGAATAAACATCGTTTTTATTTTCGTTTTTTTCTTTTTTTTTTTACATTCCTCGACCTTCCTTTCTGTCTTTTTTCTTCCTTTATTATTCTTTTATTCTGTGTTTAATCAATCGCATTCCACTTTGAAAACATGACGTTGATTATTATTGGCGATTCATTTATCGACGATATAT